GCTCCTGGACAACCGCAGGCAGTTGTGGTCACAAGGTATGTGTGTTTATAAAATGCTTATTGGTTTGTCCCTTGCATAGAATCTGGAAGACAGCCAGGTGTGTGATGAGGTGTGGATTTTTACAAAATGGCTCGGTGGTAAGTCACTTGCAAGAGAAAGCAAATCAGACTCAAGTGTCTCATTACATAAACATACATAAACAATACAAACAGCATACATCAAAAAAACTCAGTAAGACTCGACATGACTCGACATTGTTTTTACGCCCCAGAAATCAATGCCTTTCATTGCCTGTGTTGCAGTTTTTGCAATCTGGATATACAGGCACTAATAGGCAGATTTCCAAAATTCCATGCCCGAGGACGGATGTTCAAGGGCAGCATTGCGTTTGCAATGAAGAAAGCACATGAAAGCACTGCGTTGCATTTTGCAGGCCATGAGCAATTCCAAAGTGGGCCCAACCAACGGATGGCCACAAAAATGTTTGAGTCGCTGGCCACTAAAATTCAATCACTCCATCTTTGGTGTAACCTGGCTCAGTACCTTCATCATCCTCTGCCTTTGATGGCACTAGCTCAGGAAGCTCATCTTTCTGTGCCTTCGATGGCACTGGCGCACGACCTTCATCTTCCGAAGCTTTCTGCCCATCACCATCATCAGCAATGGACTTCAATGGCACTGGCGCATCCTCCAAAGCCAATTGCCCATCACCATCATTGTCACCCAAAGCCAGCCAATCATCATCATCAGCAGCAATGGGCTTCAATGGCACTGGCGTGTCCTCCAAAGCCAATTGCCCATCACCATCATTGCCAATGGCAAGCCACCTCTCAGGTCGTGGAGCATCAAGCAGTGCAAAGTCCAATCGATTGAACGCGTCCACAATGGACAGCCATTTGTCCATAGTTGGACTGATCAGGGTCATGTTCCGGACGATTTGGTTACGACCACTGTAGTCGATTGACGTGAAGCCACTATCTGAGTTTTGGGAGAAGTTCAGATCCCATTGGCGAACTCCAGGGTCAGAGCAACAAGCAAAGTTCCGAAGAGCGATGAAGTTGCTCTTCATGAAGAACTGGCCCTGCGTGCCAAAGGCAATATTCTTTCTCCTGACGGAACACAACTCACCACAAAGGACAACAACTCAAAGGAAACTATAGACCACAAGAAAAAAACAACAAAAGAATGCACAAGATAAAACAGATAAACAAATATTCAATCAATTCTCTTGAAGGCACTTAGTAGTGCGGCGGATGAACCCGACGTCGCCTCCGACTGTGAACTCTGGATCCTGGAACTCCGGGTTCTTGCGCATGATCAACCATTCGTCTCGGCGGGAAGATGCTTTATGGTGGTATTTCCACACTGCGATGTTTTCCTCATCATGGATGTTGCACCAGCCGTTCACCAAAGGCGCCATCCATGCACGGTCCATTGTAGGTGATTTGGGCACCAAAAGATGGATGATAAATTTGGAAATTGCCCCCTTGTGCCAAAACCAAGCTGGTGCAAAGAACTGACAGTTGGCAGACAGCACAAATAGACCTATGTATTATGATGTGTTATGATGTACATATATGATCATATATGTACATTGATGTACTACCTATGTTTATAAAATGCATGATGGTAAGTCATGTGCAGGGAAAAGACAATCAGAACCCTGAAGTGCCTCATCTCATAGAAGCACACCCAAAATTGAATCAGTCCCCACATGTCCCCACAACATCCCACAACCATGACTGCGGATCACTGCGGTGATTTTCCTGGTCGTTCTTCTGCAACAGCAACTGGCGCTGCGGTTGGCTTGGCTCCTGGAAGGAAAAGCACGGGTGTGATATGGTGTGATGAGGTGTATATGTTTATCAAATGCTCTATCCTGAAGTGCATCATTTCATAAATACCCACCATAACGGACTGCCCCTTTGGACTCCTATTTGCATATAATTGCACATAAGAATAAGATAGAATAAGAGGTCAATAGAGGTCAACTGATGTCAAAAGATGTCAAAGAATGTCAAAAAAATCAACAAATGTCAAAAGATGTCAAAAGAAGTCATTTGTTCTATTGCATTACAGTAATTATTTCTTAACATATTAACATGAGATCATATGAAGGCCACAGCACAGCGGACTGCAATGACTTGCCTGATCCTTCGTTTGCGAGTGGCATTGTAGGTGGCTCAGCTCCTGGAAAACCACAATATGCATGTTTATAAAATGCTCGATGCTAAGTCATGCGCAAAGAGAAACAATCAAACACCTGACGCGCCTCATTTCATAAAGCAAACTCTTAGGACTCCATAGGATTCCAGTATGAATATACAAGAAGACTGACATCTATGATATAATGATATCTACAGTAATGATCAGTAATGAATGTCTATGATATTAGTTGATATTCATTGAGATTGTATATAAGCATCTATGAACAATCTGAATATGTATCGGGATGTATCGGGCATTCCGGAATGTGCATTGCCCTGCCCTTTTCCACAAGCGAAGTGCTTGGTGCCTGAGACTGTATTATGTGGGCTGCGCCGGCTGTGCATGGCTGCCCTGTGTTTCTACAAGCCTCGTTGAACAATGTTGAACAATAAAATTGAAACTAACACCCTGTCACGTATTGTCACGTGTCATGTGAGACATGAGCCCCTGCCAATTGACCAAGGCCGACAGAAAACCACATTGTGGCCAGTGTTTGCGACTGGCAGAAATCTACACATCTCCACACGTGATCTCAGCAGAGCTCAGCAGCTGCTGATGCAATGGCTTCAGGCTCCACAGGACGCTTCCTCTTCATGGAGGAT